TGCACATCTATAAAAAGACTATATGATATTATGATGTGATGCTTAAGCAGGCAGCAAAGCTGTGCTGTAAAAAATGAAGTCAGTTTATTTCCTGCTGAATGTTTTTTAAGGAGAAAGGCATAACTACAATATTTTCTCGTTGTGAATGCAATTTAACATTCATATTATGAAGTGAAGAAGCTGATCTATACTCTGGCAAGCATGCAGAAACAGCAGCAATAGCTACAACAGTGAATGTGAATTGTGCAATTATTTATCGTCATATCGCAATGGTAAATGAAGAAAAAAAAATGTATATCTTGTCTGATTTTAAATTCAACTCAGTTGTGTCCCTCAACTTTGCACAATTGTAACACCCACAAAAAGAACGTCTTGTGATTTGTGATTAAATAAATGAAATTAAATGAAAATATTGTAAAGCACGGGGAGAAGAATAAGAAATTGTGCAATTATCGAGTAGTGTGAGGCACAGGAGCGCATTTATTTATGGAAATAACAGTCAAAAATTATTTGAAAATTAACTGTCATTAAAAGTTCAAAAAATACCGGCTTTAAAATTATTGAATTTGCTTTTTAAGTTTTATTTCTAGGAATGACAAGCAGTCGCAATAATGATTCGACAGACATAATATGGATGAAGCCACCGCTTACTCAACTGATCTTGTACTTAAAAAATATTGTTAAGCAAAATTGCATGACATGAGACGATGTAGTAGATGTCTAATGGAATGTCTCCTATATTGCAGATTGCATTAACTATATGATTTTGATCATCATCGTCATCAAGATGTAACGATGAAAACAAAAATCCGTGGGCATCAGAAAAAAAGGCAGCGAAGGAAAACAGAAACGTGTAAAAAGGTGAGATGCTTACGTTCTTATCGCATAATTCAATCAGGTGTAATATTTTTCTTTATCTCAACTTTTTTTTTATGGCGACTTATGCGCTATGGTTGACACAACCTTATTCTATAGAATGCAGTGAGAGTCATGCCAAAATATTTTGATCCTAAACTATACTTTCTAAAATATCTTTCAATTCACCTCTCATGATAATATGCACAACGGTAGCTGTTTCGAAAATGACATGAACACAAAGAGGCGATTAATACACAATTAGTGGAATATTTCTTATTTAATAGATTTGAAGTCTTCATTAAAAACGTGATTCGGTGAAACTTTTTTTTAATTGATTGACTATTAAGTTGTCATTATAATAATGCCTTTTAGTTAATTGACTTGAAATTGACATGACATTAATTAAGATTTTTGATGTAATAGGCTACCTGTATATCAAATGATTGAGACAAGGATCTTGAAACAAAAGAATTTTTGCAATATAAGTGATTTTAATTGAGTGATCAATTTAGGTTGGGATGGTGGAAGAGTACGAGGACAATAAATTAATACATAGAATCATTGAAGCCAACTTTAAGTTATTTTAAGCCAACTTCACACTTATTTACTTCAATTCTTTAAAATCTTTAAAATCAAGCTTTGTTTTAGATAAAATTAAGACAATTTCTACCTGCATAAGCCATAAAGATTCCAACAAACAATTTCTCGCTTCTCAATCAGAGGTCGAAGCGAGCATAGCGAAGCGAGTTTTTAGCGAGTTCGCTTCGCTAAAAATTCAACTTGCTAAAGTCGACCTGTAGCGAGAAATTTTTTTTTTCTTTTCGCCTTAGCGAACTATAGCGAACTCAATTTTATTATTTTCGCTTTAGCGAACTATTAGCGAACTTAATTTTTCAAAGTTCGCTATAGCGAACTATTGGCGAACTAGAAATTTTTTTTTGGCTTCATATAAAGAGATGTCTGATTGCGTTTGTGAAGTATGTAATTTCATACAAAATTGCAAAAAATTATAGTTCGCCAATAGTTTGCTATAGCGAACTTTGAAAAATCAAGTTCGCTAATAGTTCGCTAAAGCGAAAAAAATAAAATTGAGTTCGCTATGGTTCGCTAAGGCGAATAGAAAAATTTTTTTCTCGCTACAGTTCGACTTTGGCAAGTTGAATTTTTAGCGAAGCGAACTTGGCGAACCAAGTTCGCTTCGACCTCTGTTCTCAATGATATTTAAAAATTTAAAGAGACACGAGCAAGCTATAAATCCAAAAAAAAACTCAACATCTTGTCAGCCTTTTGTTCAAATTTAAGATCTTCCAGACAGTTTAATGCTCGAAAATGGTAGACAGATTAATAAATCAATGAAGCAGCTATTTATGACTCTCAACGAATTTTAAGAAGCAAGAGAAAATTAAAATCTTTAGAAGCTAATCCTACAAATTGCAGTGTTAATAGGCTAATCAAACAATCGTCAGGTGAATTTCCATTTACTTCCATGAATTGTAAATAATTATTACTGTACTAAACAATAAACCTCTCTTTTCATCTAATTCCCCTATTCAGATGAGACGAGAAAAATCCTCACATTTTCATTGAAAACAAAAACACTCTTTTGTGATTTACAATATCCAATATGTAGGTAGGTATATAGTATATAATTAAAGTTTAGAAATGATTTTTCTTCTTTTGAATATATAGTATGGAGATACAATAATTGTATTGGAGAAGAATTTATTTACTTAAGAAGCATAATAAATCTTTACTTTTTCTCTATCCTCCATCTTTTTGTGCATTTTTATTATTCCTAGAAAATGAGCTAATGTCCGTCTGTCTTTTTGTTGGAAACTGAAAAAATTAATAAAGTTTTCGAATTTTATTTAAAATTTCATTTTAATTTTTTGACAGTTAAATATTCAAATATTTTCTAACCGTTACTTATTCAAATACTCGTTGACTGTTAAATGCACTTGAATATTATTATGAATTTTAGGATGAAAAAAAGAGTAAGAAGAATTGAAAAATAGGGGAGATACCCATTGATTATTATTATTATTCAATTCTGGATCAATAAGGTACTAATTCATTATGAATGCACTTTTATATATTTTTTTTTTCATTATATTTATGTTTGCATTCATTCAATAGTTATATGCTGTACATGCTTTACTTTATTATTATATTCAAGGTGTGGATAAAAAAATTTATTTGTCTAGAGAGAATATTGTGAGATATACGATATATCTGTTTACTATATCTACATAAACATGACTTAAATTGCCCTGCTTGCTAATATTGAAATATTTCTCATATTCATGCAATAATTTTGTGCTGTGTGACCTTAGAAAAATTGGTATGCAAGTGAATGTCCACAAAAAAGTTCACTTTTTGCTCCAAGTTATTTCAATTAATTCAGACAGAGTTTTGTCAATTGTGCCTCATTAGCTGTAAATGTTGTGTACAGTTTTTGTGAATATTTTATTGACTAGGGGTCGTGATCAGAAGCTTTTAGGGTCTAATTGATAAGTTTCTGAACTGAATTGAATCTTAAGGGCTAAATCCTCTTTTACAGCGTCCTTAGAGTGATTAGAAGTACCTTAGTAAAAACCTAGTATGTACTAAAGGTATCCAAAATCTTTTAAAGTGAAACCTAACCTCAAAATTCAAAACCAGATCTGTCAAAAGCTAGACAATCTAAATTTCCGACCCAATCGAACCCCCAAAAAAAGGTTAAAGAAAATTGTTAAGTGTTGAGTATGAAAAAAGAGAGTCGTGCGTAGGAAACACTTGTTGAGACGCCTACACATTCATTATTGAAAACGATTTGTGCGAAAATAAAAATTTATCGATGTTAAAAAAAATTATATTTTTATTTTGTTGTGCACATTTTGTGAGAAAAAAAGGCAAAGTAATATGAAAAGTTAAGGAAGAGAGAGAGAGAGGCAAAAAATTTATGATAGCATGTCGTGACTTAATATGCGACATAAAATGCAATTTCGATTGCCTAAATAAGAGGATTTTCTTATTTTATATGCACGTAGATGTGAGCTACAAAATGTATAAGAAAAAAGAAATCTTTCGCTTGAATGGATAACCATCAAGGAATTTTAATTCTTAAACATCATTACCACTTTGAAACTCGTTCACATTCGATGAGATTTTGAAGCTTGATTTTTAAAAATTTACTTACTAAGAATTCACTTTAGTTTGGCTTGATGCATAGTTGCAACCAATAGTTTGATGTTTATTCCAGTTTATTCATCTTCATTTGCGAAAACTTGTGAAAAATTGGATTTTTTGAAAACCGTTTAGATTTGAATTTTCGAGAATCGTTGAAATTTGAATTTTTCAAAAGTGTTTAAGTTTTAATTTCTGAGAAACGTTAAAATTTGAATTTTTTGAAAACCGTAAAAATTTGAATATTTCAAAACCTTTAAAATGTTTATTTTTGAAGTTATTAAAATTTGTATTTTTGAAAATTCTTAGGATCTGAATTTTTTAAAAACGTTAAGATTTAAATTTTGAAAACCGTTGACATTTGATTGTTTGTAAATCGTTAAAATTTGAACTTTTGAAAAGCGTTGAAAATTTGAATTTTTGAGAACCTTTGAAATTTGAATTTTTCAAAACCGTTAAGATTTTAATTTCTAAGAAACGTTAAAATTTGAATTTTTTGAAAACCCTAAAAATTTGAATATTTCAAAACCTTTAAAATGTTTATTTTTGAAGTTATTAAAATTTGAATTTTTTGAAAATCTTTATGATCTGAATTTTTTAAAAACGTTAAGATTAAAATTTTGAGAACCGTTGACATTTGATTGTTTGTAAATCGTTAAAATGTGAACTTTTGAAAAGCGTTGAAAATTTGAATTTTTGAAAAAAATTAAAATTCATATTTGTTAGAGCCCTTAATATTCAAATTTTAAAATCCGTTTTGTAATGCGCTTAAGACCCACAACCAATAAATCGAGGACATTTCTCAATATTTTTCTCCTCTTTTCTTATTCTTATTTAAAATGTATTATATATCCAATAAATATAAAGAATAAAAAAAAACAACAGTTGAACAGTCGAAGACCATTAATTTTTTGATCTTGATAATTCCCTTTTCAAACCAGTAATAAATTAATTTAGTATTATCGTATGCCTCTTACCTTTCATTAAATTTGTTCTGATGGATTTGTTGTTTCACCCTCGATATCTCGCTCGTCTCTTTAATATTTATATATTCACAAAATCAGATCACTTATTCTATAAATTTTAATTTTATTTTTTATATTCCTTCGTTTTGTTATTTACATGTAAATCCACCTTATGTACGTCTTGTAGCTTTTCAAAAACTATTAAAATTTCTTTTATTCACTCCTCAATTCTTATTTCTTTTATAATTACTGCCAATCTGAATAACAACACACTGACTGCATTAAAATATCCACAAAATTGGAGCAGACACGGCAAATTCGCAAATAGATCTTTTGAATGTTCAACCAAAAACAAACATGAGAATTTCGCTGTTGCTGCTTTTTCCACCGACACAGAAGATCAAGAAAATTCTTTCATGAAAGAATCACTCAGCAAAAAAATCTCAAAATGCACTCTAAACTTAATTATTTCACGTCGTTGCATTCGGACCGTGAAAAAAAAAAGATTGGAAAGACCGAAGATCATTCGAGCCAAGCAAAAAATCCAACCGTCGCGATCGAAAGTCAAATTAAAACTGAAGTGCTCGTGAGCAATCGCTTGAGTTGTTTTATTTAATTTAAGCTTTGTTCCTCTTTCATTTCTTGTTTCTTGATCCATTGGAAGTAAATTCTTTTTTTTTATATTTTTCAATTCCTTTTTGATGCCGTCTTTCGTGTGCATACAAAAATCATCGCCGCTTGAGCACGCAGTTAAAGATATTTTTATTCTGAGAGAGAGAAGATCACTAATGATGAGAGATTGAGATCTTCTATATCCACAAAAAAAGGTTTGATTATGTTGAGAATCCTTCTTATTATCGCTGTTGAATTTTGTTTTTGGATATAGACTTAATATCATTCCCAGTAATGGTGGAACTAATCACATTTAAATTCCACAATAGAACACTTTTGTTCCGATAATTACGCTATATAATTATATAATTTCTATGCTTCTTCTTTTTCATCAAGTTCTTTCCGGTATTTTACCTGCTATTCCGTCCAAAAAGAATTTCTCATGATCGATCTACATTCGAATTTCTGATTTTTTATGGTTTCTTTGAGGTTCGCGATGAGAGAGCGGCTTTTAATCACTTCCCGGCTCTCTTTTTGAGAGAGTTTACTGGAAGTGCTATGCAGAGATTAGTTTGCGGAACAACTTTACATTTTCAGACTACGAATGTTGACATTAAATAGGTTTATTAACTTCCATTAGCAAAAATATTATTTTTTTCAGCTATTTCTTCTCGCTAGCAAATTATAGTCATTCAAGCGTGCTTGCAAAATGAAATAGAATATGCTCTCGATTTAATGGATATTGCCAATTTTGGTCGGTGAATTGGAAAATTTTACTAATCGATATTGAAATTTTGTTAATGAATTTTATTTGATTTTGGGTTTTGAAGATTTTTTGGGTTGGAGGGAAGTCGATGAAAGTTGTATGATATTGTGTAGCGCATCTGCGACTTCTTGGGAATGGGATTTTGTATATTGTTTCTTGTGATCTGAAGTGTCTCGGTGACTTGATGGTTTAGCAATTCAGTTTTTAATTATTGCGATAATGACACAGCAATAAAGGGTTCAAGACTCGGAATTGAAACTTATTTTAAACAGTTAGTACTGGATAAACAGCTCATTGTTTCCATTTGTAGGATATTGGCGTGAATGTTTATAATGGATCATCCAGATCCTACCAGCTGAAGATTTCTTCCCTCTACCTTTATAAGTCGCAATTTTGTGACTTTATCTTGCAAACCATTACACCGTAGACCGCCAAAACTCCTTCACAGCCCTTTAAAATTGTTCACAAAAAATCCAACAATCATTCCCTAAAATAATCCAGTCAAAAGCACTTAAACCTCAAAGTATCACATAAAAATCATGTCCCTATCTCCTTAATATCCTCTTATCTTATCTCAAAATCCATAAAAATAAATAAAAGCCCGACGCATTGACAAAATACATTTTAAGTAGCTCATCATACAGCAAAGGTAGCACTAAAATGAGTTGTTGATTAATAATATTTTAGATTAAAACCATTAAAACGCCTTTCCACATTCATATCTAAATTTGAAAAGGAATTAAATTTTAGTATGCAATATTTTGTTTTATCTTCTTCATATTTCCATGTCTTTTAATTTGAGATTTTTTTTTTCTTCTTTTTAACCCCAAAAAAAATAAAAATAAATAAAGAGTTGAAACAAAGAGAAAAAAAGATAAATATCCAAATGTAATGGCGATCATGTTTTCTTCTCGGTTAATTTCTTCTCTTTTCAATAAAATAAATATTCACAAACTGTCCATAAAATTGTTTCTGAAGCATTCTAAATTTACTTTTTATTGGGAGGGTCATTTAGATATTAGGTTATGTATTAGCTAATGTTGGAGATTGAGTTGAAGTGGCTCGGTGGTTGAATGGTTGAGTAGATAATTATTGGTAAAACATTGCGATCATGAGTACTAATCTCAAGATGTGAAATCCTTCATTTGCTGCTTTTTCGATGCATTTGAACTGGAAGTTTAGTTTAAAACCTAGCTTAATAGATTTTTAAAACATTGGTTCCAAAGAATTGGTCTCAAAACGAGTATGAGTTGATTTTAGAATCTAGTTTTAGGTCCTGAGATCTGATAAACCTGCTAATCATCCTCATCATTAATCTTGGTGTGGTTTGAACTTTATTGGACCCTTCATGATGTAGCTTCATTTACTTAATCAGTTTTTTTTTTAAAATCATTCTTAGTTCCGATTTTAGATTCATCTTCAACAACAAACATGTCAAGAACCCTTAAATGGTCAATTTTGAAGTTACACAACATCCATACAACCCCTTTGGTATTTATGCGAGTGACATAAAAACGAATTAAACGCAACACGAAATTGAAAAGAATGAAAACGTAAGGAGGAAGAATATACAGAAATAAATTGAACATGCGACATACGATAAATGCAATTAATGAGAGTGTGATTTTTAGCACAACAAAATAATGATCAAACAGTGATTTTTTCATTATCATTCTGTGCCTTCGTTTTTAATTATTTTTTGTTACTTCTGTGCACTTTTTTTCGTTTTGTCTTTTTTGATGATGATCAATCCACGAATGCTGTTCTGAATCGATAAATGCTTCTTGCTGTATATTTTTGTTTCTCTCTTGAAATAAACATTTGAAATGAAATTAAGTATTTTTACATGGATATATCGCTGTGTGAGGTCTTTTTGCTGTTTTGCGAAGCAAAAAAAAATAAATAAAGGAATAAAAATAATTGTGTCTTGGCCTTTAGCCCATTTATTATGTATTTATTGGAGACTCTCTTAATTCATATAGCAAAAAAAAAAAATAAGAATGAAATGGAGATGAATTCAATATTTCTCATCTAAATCAAAAGAATGGTTCTGTGTTTTATGTGTTGAGGATACTAGATGGAAGTGCTCGTTGGTAATAAATGATGTTAAAGCTTCAAATTAAAGAATTTCAAAATTTACACTCAAAACATAAATTTATATCATTAAACTTTTTAAAATTCCATACACTTAAAGTTTCATATAGCCAACTAAAGTCATGTCCATATAATTTTCAATTGCATGACTTTAACATTTTGACGAAAGCTCCATCTCAAAGAGATCATCAATCATAATTTTCATACTTAAAAAATCATGTGCAATTAAACTTTCATAATCTGTATATTTTGTGCAATTTTAGGTGTGCCTTAATATCCAAACAATAAGATTGGTAACGATCTGCACATTTAAATACTCATGAGACCTCATGCCAACAGTTATTGAGCAACAGACAATAAGATTTATATATAAACAATCTTGTCTTAGATTTGCCCTAATTTAACTGTCAGTTTTGTCTTCTCATCTCCTCTTTGAATCGTCTAAACGTTTCAGTTTCTCATCTTTAAAGCCTTAAAATTCATTTATTTGAGAGAGAGTCAAGAAAAAAATATATTTCATGATCATGAAGTTAATAATAGTGTAGAATTTCGTACATCTTCTTTAAATAGACATGTTATGGTGAAAAAGGTGGGTAATTTCATGGACTTCGTGTGGCATGAAGACAAACAAACAGGTAGGCAAGTATATAACAAACATCAATTTGATTTACAGCAATCCTTTCTTTCCTAAGGCGTTGTTCTTCAATGATGTGGAACTTATAGGTATAGATGGGGATCGGAGGGCGTCTAGAGTTAAGGATGTAAACAAGCGATGTTGAGTGGAACTAGAATCCAAGAGAAGAAACAAAATGATTATAAAAGATTTAAATTAAACTAATTCCCATCATGTTGTTACCCCCCTGCTTGTTTTGATGGAACTTTTTGTCGTCTTTTACATTTTTTCCTTCTTTTAATAACTATTCTTCAATTATATTGAATTACCCGTGCTTCTTTTGATAGAATTACTTCTCATTATGTTGTTATCCCTTTGTGACAATCCAAATTCATGATTTAGTTTAAAAAAAGATGTAACATAGTGAATAAGAATCTAAAGACACTGCAAATTTTCAACAGCAATCCAGCCATCATTTACAACCGATCCCCAAACGCAATTGTTGAACCAGTTCAAAACAAAAAGCCAAAGCAGAGCAAAAATATTCTTTCGTCTTACGTTTGATGTCTCTTCACGTACAGAACAAAAAATACAGAAATCAATAATACCAAGCCATAAAAAGTATTAAAAATGTTAATAAAAAAATGCCGAACGTTGAGCATCAGTAGCTCGCTAATCCTCATTTTTTCACAATAAAAAAAATAATAAACACATCTTCTCTCATGCCTTCAATATGAATTTCTCTCATCTCTATCGAATCTTATTTTCTTTCTTTTAAGGTATTCTTGGCATCAATTTATATGCCCGGCAAATAAATCTCGTGATATGTTCTTATTCGTATGCTCAGGAATGAATGGATGAATTCGATCGTGTGCTTTTATGAGACCAAAAATATTATGAAAAGATTGTGAATTGAATTCCTCAACAGAGTTGGATCCTAAATTTGGATGTTAAAAAAACGAAAAACAACGCAGTTTTATTTTTATAAAATTGAATAGGAATCGAACCTTTGTCCTTGCATAAAGGATACTTTTGTCAATTTATTACACAACACTGCTGTATGCATTTGACCACTCAGTGCAATAAACTCTTCCTGTAAGTCCAGCTAAATTGAATACTTAAACCTCAATAGCTAGCTTTATATAAACCCAACTCTGCCTTTAACAATGCGATTATTGGAATCTTAATTTTTATACTGAATTGAATCATCACGAGAAGTATTTTGAATTAATTTGATTTATTTTTTTTTTGGACGATCCATAAAAGCCACAGAAGTAAAAACACATTTTCTAAATTGGCAAATCCCAAAAGAATGCCAATAAATTACCAGTTCCAGAAAAATAAATTAAATAAAATACAAAAATGTGTTTAGAAAATTAATAAGCTTATCTGAATTCCAAAAAAATGTTAAAAACATTTAATTCCAAAGTCAGCAACTCATTTCTCAATCTTCTTAGAATTAAATACCGAGAATTTTATTTCAATTAAAAAATGTTTACGACTTTTCTTCTTATCTACCCGGTAGGTAGGTTCAACGTTCGATAATTAAAATTCATCTCGTGCTCTTCAAAAAAACAAAAAAAATTGTCCATCGACGGAATGACAATTTAAAGCAGAGCAAAAGATGACATCGCTACTTAGTTGTTTTCATTGATTTACGACGCTAATTAGCTGAAATGAGACGAAAAAATAAAGAAATTTTTCATTTCTTGTTGGTTTTTTTATGTATCTGAGAAAATTGATTCCGAAGAATTGAATCCGAAAACGTGGCACATGAAGAAGAATTGAAATTAACAATTTTTTCTTATTTGATCAACAAAAATATCTGAAATCTTAAAACTGCAAGTGATGTGATTCTGAAAATACACAAAAAAATTAATGCTCAAGGATGAATACGAATGTAATGAATAAGAGCATGAAAAGGGAAGGGCTCAAGTTGGGAGTGATTTGAGGAACTGTGCGCATTTTTCAGCTTGTTTGATTTTACCTGGAAATCAAGAATTCTTTTGGTTGTTATAGTTTAACAACAAAGATCACTAATCTTAGTTTTTCATAGTTAAGGATCACTAATCTGAGTAACACATTCGAGGCGGATGTAGCATATGACATAAGCAAATGGGACTCTAATTTCTATATCTTCAGATGATTTAGAAAACTGTCAACCTTGACAAAAAGCTAGGAGATTTTTAAAAATAGATCCGAACTGGATTTCCAAATGAAGATCACAACTTAACATAAAGAAACAGCTGTTTTAATAATCTACAGCTGACAAGTTGAATTGTCAGGTAGCATTTCCACCACAAGTGATTCAGTTTCGGCACTATAAGTGCAAGATAACAGCAGTTGTTGTAAAAGACAGCATTGCGCTTAGAATCAGTAATTAGCAATGGGTAACAAGCAATAAAGCCAACTTCAAGCAGCATCTAAAAGCCCACAAAGCTTTTTTATAAGTGCGCATTTTTAAGTGACATTACGTCCACAAATTCCAGCTCCAACTAATATTCTCATCAGCAATTCAGTCAACTATATATTCTCTCATCATTATTAAAAGTTATGCTGCAATAAATGTTGGAAATAAAAAGCTATAAAATCTTATGGATTTATAGATAAAATGACGAACCAGATCTCAAGCTTGATGTTTATATAATTAACTACTAGTCTTAAATTCTCCCTTTTATGATTAATATCAACAGTTCGAGTCATAAAAAGAAAGAAAATTTTCAGCTGGTAATCGGGCAATTAAAAATTGAGCATAATAAAAGCAGTTTCTTTCATCACCGAAATAAGTAAATAAGAAGTAGAGAATAATAAAAGCACAACAAAGAGGGATTGAATGAGTAAATGAACGATCAATATCCAATTCTATATTGTTTAATGTTATTCACATAAGCCATAAGAAAAATGAAATCTGGTGTAGCATGTGAGCAAACAATAACCAAACAAGATGGAATGGCACAAAAAAAAGCAGCGAGAGAAGGAAAGAAAGAAAATAAAACGACAATATCATATCAGTTTTTCCGTCTGAATGATTTTTGATAAAGAATTTTATTTAATTTGACTTGCTTAACTCTATTTTTCTCAATGTCGCTGTTGCTGCTGGCAGGGATGGTAAATGTGTGGCTTTCTTCCATTTTTGATTTAGTTTGGTTTTTTGAGAATCAATTGCTTGTTCATGACCTTACAGGTTTCTAGGACTTCTATAGACACTCATCAACATTCATTCTAGCACTACACTAACCTACATCCTAAAATCTGGCCAATGAGTACCCTATGTGGATGCCTTATGTGGATGCTAGAGTACAGTTTTCAATCCTGAACTTAATTCAAGTTTTCTGTGATAAATTCAGATTTTTCATTGTAATCTTTTGATCCTCTCTAGTTCCAACTCCCTTAATCTAAATCCCCAACTCTGTCCAACTGCAGCTCATTCGCAATGATTTTTTTTTTCTTTCATGTTTTTGTTCGTTTTCTCATGCTCATTCCTTCTCATTGCTAAAACGATATCAACTGCCTTTTTAGTTGATCTCTCTTTTGCTTCATTTTGTAAGCAATTCATTAAATATGTATTCTACGGCAGGCACACAAAAAAAAGAAGCACGTATAAAACTTATAAACGATCAAAATGCGAATAAATATATTGTGTAGCTGTAGAAACGAAAGAGAAAAAGGTCGATACAGTTTTATGAAAGACAGTAGCATATTTTCATGTTTGTTGATCACAAATTCTGAGATAAATGTAGTTGGAATTGACAAATTTTAATAAGACTGATTGATAGATTTAGGTTACAAGGAAGAACAAGCTACTTTTTCTGTATGCAGATCTTTTAGATTTCTGCTTTGAATGGTTTATGTTGGCTTGCGTCTATCGATGAATTCCTTGACCAAATTAGTAAATGAGCTAGTCATTTGGAAACATCGAAACTCGATTAGCTTATCGAATTGTTAATTAAATTAAGGAAATTTGCGTAGCGGTGTCGATAGCTAAAAAATGTGTTTTGACCATAAATATTTTCATTTTAATTGATATTAACTGTTTTGGATGTTTTGAGATAAATTAATTGTGGAATCTGAAAATTCTTGGGTATTGTGCTGTGAAGAAGAAATAAGTTAATATCTTTTTGTGTTTTATAGGCATGTGAAAAAGCTTGGACTGATGAATCTTAAATTGAATTGTTTTCACATTGAATCATCATGTCATGAAGTTTTGTAAGCAAAATTGTAGAGTATGCAAAGATCGTACTGCAAACAGATTTATGGCATTACTCTTGTAAAGTTGGGTGGATTTATGAGTCCAGTTCCTTTAGAAAGTTGATGATGGTTTGGATTAAATTAGAAGATTTGATCATTTGCCATTTATTGATTGATGTCATTTGTGACTGACTTCATTTTAAGATCCATCAAATAATTTGTAGCTATATAATCAACATAACTTCCTTCAAGTTCGTCCCTATGTCACCGATGAAATATTAATGACATTCAAGATCAGCTAAAGAAAAATGACGATCAATATTTCATCGCATCCAATAAATTATAAATTCACCAAACTACACAATTTTAAGAGACATGCATCCACAGCCATAATAAAGATTTAAAAGAATCAGAAGAAACAAACATCGCATCAAAAAAGTGATGTAAAGAATAGCAATTTTCATTTACGAAGATTAAGTTCTTTCAGCGATTACATGGTCTTCATTTATTGCCATGGACAAGTAAATAAAACAACCGAGAAGTAAAATAACTCCCTTGCCAAAAAAAAATATAAGAGTGCGACTGATGTATTTGCATTTTTGACATTAAATTAAATGATGATTGCTTAAGGATGGTCAAGTTTGGACTGAGTAAATTGCATTTTATAGCTTAATTCACTGTTATTTTTTTCCCTTTTTCATTCATTTCATAAAAATTCAATGACTTTTTCCTCTCTGCTTTCGCTGGTGGTCTGGTCTGGCTGCTTTTGCTAAAAAAAAGTTATTTTTCTCGAGTGAGTAAAACTTTAAAGAAAGGAGAGTGATAATTTATTTTATCTTTTTTTTCGTTCTTTTTTGAACATTTTACTTCTGTTGATGTCTTTATAAACATTCCCCCGGTCTCACAATTCAAACTTGATAATTTTATTATTTTTTTTTTGAAATATTTATAATCGATTTTTGAGTTCGAGAATGTTTGTCGGTATTTTTCAGTGAGACAGGTGTATAGATGTGTCTATTTGAAGATTGCTCAAGAGACATTCTTAAGTGAAGTCCTTCAAAAAGAGTGGATTGAGTGACTGATTAGAATTTTTTATAATTTCAGACCACCAAAGATTATGTAAGTCTCAATTAGAAGTTTTTGGAGTAAGTTTTGAGCAATTAAGGGGGGGGGGGGGTAAAAAGTTTGACAAGCAAACAAAGTTAAATGTAACAAATTACTCAAATCATCCACTTCCTAGGCAACATTAAAAACTGAAAAACTTTGAAAGTTCAAAAATTAAGGAAACAATTTTTTTTCTTCAAACTTTAATGCACGAAAATATTTTTTTTTATTTCATAAGTCTCTTTAAAATTCACAGAAAAGTCAGAACAGTCATAAACTTTCTCTACAAGTTTTGAATTTTTTTCATGCTACATAAATTCCACATTATACTTTCTGACCAAAGCATCACATGTCAATTTGTGGGATATTTTCAATTAGAATGAACATTATACTGAATGATGGCGCATTTTTCAAGTCCAACATCATTTCTGCTGCTTTGAAAATTAACTTTTGGTGTGAATTTGAAAAATAACGGTCAAAATAATTTGAAAAACTGCAAAAGAATTTTCAAAAATTTAAGAAGAAAACCCCGTAAAATAATCCATTATAAGTCTGACAAGCAAAGAAAGATTCCCAATCATAAAATCCACTGTGAAAAATTCCACAGAAAAAACTGTCTGCCTCAATATCCACACAAGCAATGTGAAACTGACGCAGAGTTTATTTTAATTGCAACCTTAATACTCCTCATTAGACTGACTCTCAAGGACAATTGAGTTCAATTTAATGAATTCTACATCAGTCTCATGCCTCTGCAATGCATCCATATACTTGACTCGTTCGTCCATTACCAATTTAAGGTCAGTCGAATACTTTTGAGCAATCTCTAGTGCCCTATTCCATCGATGTAATCTTAAACAAAATTGTATTGCCTCCGATATCCGATGATTATGCAATAAAATTGTCTCGGCTTCTTCAATTCTCGTCCCATTCATGACTGCATTCTCCGCCATCTGCTCATTTTCATTCAATTCCTTCACAAAATGCATGTAATCGACTTTATCAATTTGCAATGCTGATGAGAATGCTTCCTCACTTATTTCATGTTGATTTCGTTTTGATGCAATTGCAGCTAAGCATGCCCATAACAATGTACTTTGTCCCATACGACAAATTTTTAATGCCTTTTCCCACTGATTCTCGCTGACAAGTTTATGTATAAGAATGCAATAAATTTTAGTTGTAATGGTAAAATTTGCACCTGACGCACAAAATGTGATTGTAAATCCGTCGAAATTGACGAGAGAGATGTTCTTGCCAAATTCCGTTGTATCATATGAAAGTGTCGTTAAAGCAATCAATGATGGATCGGAACATGATTCGCCTGGACAATACCAGATACTATAACATGAGTCATGTAGACCAACAAGAACATTACATTCGCTCGACCACATGATGCTTATCACTTGTGTACCAATCTTATGTAGCGAATAGTCAGGTCCACTTTGTATTGCTGCCAAATACAGATCTCGATTTGTATCAATAAATGCAACAAGATGCTTATCGTCTGCTGACGGTCCCGATCGATTGACAGCAATTTCCGTAATTAGTTGTTTATGTTTTACCTGATTTGGCTCTTCTTGTCTCGACGCTCCAGGATATAGATCAAAGATATGAATAATCGTCTGATCAGCAAAATCGCGTAATGCAAGTACATCAAGTCCCATTGAGATAGTTTGCATTGTTAAGTTAAAGACTTGCGCTTGACTGCCGCTATATCGTGGATTTAAATGAAGTCGTCCCGAATAGGTGTAAATCCATATTGATATATTATCAACGACAAGGAAATTTCTGAAGATGATATAGAGTATAATTATTGTGTACTTATTATGATGAATTATAGACATCAATCTCTTTACTGACTGATTACTACTTACTTCTTTCCCAATAATATTATTCTGACTTCAGGCCGATCGATGATGACGGGAGTGTTAATATAATTTTCATTAAAAATATGCAACTGATTTGGTGTAGCAACAACTAAATGTCCATAACCTAATTCCCATTTAATTATACGATCAGAAAAGTCCAATGTATCCGTGGTATTATTAACTATATCTTTCATTATTATCATTCGCCTTCCAGTTATTGTCGCCTTTAAATTCTTATATATGACTTCACGCTCTACAACATGTCCGAATATTATATTTCCTGTACTCGATCCGCATAATATTTGTGTACCATCGGGCGACCATGATACATTCATTAATGATCCAACTGGCTTGTCCTCAAATCTCGTAACATTATAGCACCACTGTATTAAAGCATCGAAATAAGAAGATGAAAAAAAAAATTAAAATATTTTTGAGTATCGTGGGTTATGTTGTAGGCTATGGCGCATTTTACATGCGGGATTGTTTAAAAAATTTGAACTTTGATTTATTTTAAAAAAGTTGTAAAGGTTAATCAGAACAAATTTCAAATTCGAATTTATGTTTAAAGATTAATGTCTTGGGATTTGAACCCTTGCCTTGTTTGAATGAATCAAATCTGATCAAGGACTTCTGCCACTAGACCAATGACGGTCTTTTCTGTGATTATTTGTTAAACAAATTCTAAAGACTTCAAACTTAATTTGTAATTTCATACTAAACCCTTGGAACTTGACCAGCACAGTCGGAACACAAAACAAACAAAAGACAGCCATAAACCAATAACACAATGCCGTCCATCAAATGTAAATTATATGGCTTTAAAAAGCAATATTAAAAGGTAATATTCATTCTTACGCCAGTATAATGACATAATTTCAGCATGTTAAATCCACCAACGGCAAGCATTGAACCATCAGGACTAAAGTCGAGTGTTGTGATGGGATAATCATCACCGGCACTTGTATAAATATTTGTTCCCTGTGTATCCCATATCTTATATCTCATATCTTCACCAGACGATGCAAGATATTCAGCATTCGGTGACCATGCAATCGCCAACACTAAGCCATCATGTGCCTGCCACTTAATTAATTTGCTGTTTGCAGCTAAAGGCTTCAATGCAATTGTATTTCCATGACAATAGGCTATTGTTGTTGAATTCGGAGACCATCGGGCACTGACAATTAAGCCTTCATTCTGTATTACCGTCGAACGAAGCATGCCACTGCGCGAGAATATTTTTATGACACCATCTTCGCCGGCTGAAAGTAAACTTGAGCCGTCTGGACTCCATCGACATGAAATTATTGCACCATTATGTGCATTAACACTTCGTTCGACTCGTGCACCTTTATTGAGGATTATAAAACGTCCATCGGATGATGATATCAGTAAATTTTCTGTACTCTTTCCACCGGACTTTGAAATCAGCCAGTTGAAATCTGATGGCTGAAAGTCTGGTATTTTTGCGACTTGAACAAAATCCCGAGATGCAAGTGACCACTTAAGGATCTGACAGTCGTCGCTTTAAAATAAATTTAATTTATTTATTTCAGCTATGAACAAAGGATAGAAGCAAGCTTACCCGCATGAATAAACTTCATTGTTACTACTCCATCCGACACACGTTATCGTACCTTTATAAATTGCTTCCTTGTTTAAATAAATTTTAAATTTCATCTTGTCGTCTGCTGCTGCTTTATTTTGTTATCTTTGTCTACATAAAAATAAGAATCAAATGAAATGCTTCAAGATTTTTCCTCCTTTTAGCTTGTTCACACTATGCAACTGAAGGGATTCAATGGAAAATTCAGTTCTTTTTTTGTGTTGTTGACTTTCACGTTGTCATAGTGAGCGCTCACATAGAGAGGAACAAAAAGAAGTTGCTCTGGTAACGCGAACGTAGAAACGTAAAAAAATAGAAAACAATATTAGCTCACAACAAGTGGAAATGGTGCAAGTGAACAAGCATCAATGCAGACGTTTTTGTTAATGTACATAATAAGGAGTTCCATTCATATTTTTACACTCTGATATTTTATCCTCAATTTCAGAGTTGCGAAACAGGTCACCTGTGACAGGTGAGAACCTTTCAATTCCTTGATAATTTGTATGGTTTTGTTAGAAAAACCTTATAAATTATCAAGGAATTGTAGGGTTCTCACCTGTCACAGGTGCCTGTTTCGCAGCTCTGCTCAATTTCTTTAGTTGAATATGTTTCTATAGAGATTAGAGTAATTATGTGAATATTTTCTGTGATGTCGTTTTAGGTCTGGAAAGTTGTGGGATCTGATTTTGAATTTCGCAAGATAAACGCTTAAAGAGATAAAAATTTCATTTGTAACGGCTAGAAAATATTTGAATTTTTGAACTAAGTTGTAACAGTCAAAAATTATTGGAATTATTTGAACTTTCAAATGAATTTTGAACTTTTAAATGAATTTTGATTTTCAAATTTTTGAATCAGTTTCAAAGTTCAGAATTTTGAATGAACTTTAAAATTCAAAATTAACAGTCAAAAATTATTTGAATTTTCTGAAAAGTTCAAATGTTTAACAGTCAAAAATTATTTGAATTTCCTTTAAATACCTTCAAAACATTTATGAAATGCCAAACCATCCAAACCATTTCGACAACTTCCCCAAAATCCAGCTAAAAGTAGTTACTAGGAAACAGCTCAGCAGTTTATTAAAAATTCTCTAGCTCTACAAAAAGAACAGCAATCCAAATAAAAACTTTATAAAGTAAAACTCACATATGAATCTCATCGGGCTTCTTCATTTGCCTTAAATCCTTTCAATATGTAATAAATTTGCTGACTCAACATTTTTCCTTTATTAGGCTTCGATTTCTCACTTCGCATAGGTCATTGATCCATAAGCTTCAATAAAATTGACTTTTTTTCTTCTTTTTTCCATTAAGTATATTCCACAAGTCTAATAAATATTTCATATCTCTTAACGCGCTCGATAAATGCCGAATAATGTCAAAAAGAAAAATCCTCAATGCCTTCATATTTTGTCATTAATGAGTGATATCATATGCCTTCTTATTACAGTAATCGCATTTTCCGGAAATAAAAAGAAAGAAGAAGTGAAAAAGTTGAAAAGACATAAATTATTAATAACCTAAATAATGCCTTATATGTGTGTTAGGATGTGTGGAACAAGAAGTAGCAAAAAAAAACAACAAAAGTTTGACATAAAAAATTCATAACACGAAATATGTATCATTTCCAGCTCCAAATAACTTTGTTGTTGATGCCACTTCTCTCGTGTGTGTAAATAGCACATACGGAAGCAAAACTTTTTCCATACCCAACAGCAATTTTGATCTATTCTGTTTTGTTGGACATTAAATAACCTCATCAAGATGAAGCATGTGGATGAGTCGAAAACCATCAAATTTACTTAATTGACCGAGTAATCTATTTAGAGTTGATCATCCTTAAATGCCCTCGAGACTATCACGTGCTTATGCTTGAATTAATTTTTTCTGCTTGGGGATCGTTCACTAGTGATGTTTTTATGATAAGCGATTTTCATGCGACCCTTAATTGGAATCTTTTGGATGTTACGTAATGCTCCAACAGCAGGGGGAGGGGGGGGGGGGGGGGAAATCTAGTTGCAGATATGTTTAAGTGACCCAAAATCCAGCACAAACATAGCTCTGATCTTACAAAAAGTCGTATCAATTAGGAAGTCATCATCTGGCACCAATTGACCAATTAAGTACCCCGTAACATCCGTACAACCCCCACTTTTGCAAATTAATTCAAAGAAAGAAGGAAACTAGGTCAACAAAGCGGTTCCGCTTAATCAAACAAAACAATAAACACATTTAATTAATATTAATTTGAAATGGATCCGCTTCCCGAATCAATCAATTTTAATTAGACGTGTTTGTTGGTATTTTTGGTTGTGTCACCTGCCAAACCCTGAACATTTTCTCGCACATTATATGCTGGAATGATTTTTCTCACTGGAAGGATTTTTCTTGGAAAATTCTTTTGTTATTCAGTACGCGAGATATGTAAAGTGTTTATGCATGAAAATTCAAGGGCAATTTTTTGACTTTTTTCGAGTATTGATGACATTTGAGGAATTTCTGAGGGCTGACTATCCAAAAAATCAGGAAATTTGTAAAAATAAATCCAGAATTATTCAAAACATTAACACCAACTTAATAAAATATCAATTCAATTCTCATAATGAGCTATAATAACAATTCAAACGTGCTTACAACCAGCACATGCGCATTGTCATCATCTTGTAAAATCACGTTGTTGTGTAGTCCTCATCCCATACACCCCTCAGCATATTTATGAATGAAAATTTTCCAAAAACTCTCTCACTGGAAAATGAACGCCTGCCTCATAGTCAATACATCCCAGCACATGGTGACTATAGTAATATTTTTTATGAATTTTCCAATACTCTCGTTGTGTATAAATTATCATAAGGATAAACATTTTCTCTTCAGTGTGTTGTGGATTTTTCACTCGGCAAGGACGACTTTTCCTCGCTTGTCGAATTTCCTATCAAAAAAAAAATTATTATTATTGTGCATTTTCATGTTATAGATTGTAGCATAAAACAGAACGTAATAAATTTTAATAATACAAAAGAACTTTTTTTTTTGTTCTTCAACAACAGTGTCAGGCAGCACCCAAACCAAAAAAAAAAATCATAATAAAAATAATTGTAATTAAATGCGCTGATAAAAATAAAAGTTCAATGAATAAATGAATTGAAAATATTTGTAGTGAGGCACACAATACACAAAAAATAAATAATAATAAATTAATGAGCTCATCAATTTTTGTTATATGAACAATGAGTCAAAAGTGAATGGTGGCAGTGGAAAAAAAAGAACAAAAAAAAGGATTATTAATGAAGCATTTAAAGTGAAAGACGGTTGAAACATTTTAAGCTACGGATCGTTAGCTTCATTTTTTTGGGGGTAAATATTTTCATTATTTCTCGTGACTCCTTTTCATTCCTTCTTTGTGTCTTATTTTCATCGTCACAAAATTTTTTTGTTATTGTTTAATTAAATTTTAAACACACGACAACGACGTCAATTTTTGAGCTTAAGACAATCCTTATTTTTGCCATCTCAATGTTTCGTGCCGCTAGTAAATTTTCATTTCTTGAGTTTTTTGTTGAGCTCGATTTTTTGGAAGGGATTGTAAATGTTGTGGATGGATCTTGAGTTTTTTATCTATCTAATAAAGGTTAAGGTTAGACATCATGTCCTATAGTTTGATCTGATTCTTCACATCAGTAATTTCAGCAAATTATGCTTTGAAAAAACAAAAAATGTCTTCAGCATCTTAAAACACATAATAATTGTATAATTTTACATCTTTGACTTAACAATTCAGCCAGAAATTGAGCCATTTTAGGGAAAAAAACTTATTGAATTTTGCTAAAGTCAGCTTCGGTTCGCTAAAATCTGATTCAAAAATTGTATGGACATTTTTTCTGCTGTCACTTGTGAAATATATAACTTTATATAAAACTCAACAATTTTTCTTAGCGAATTCTGGTCAGTTGTAATCACTAAAGTTATGAATTGATGGTGCTTTCTTGTATATATCCTCTAAAGTCATAAACAGCTTTTACCAGATTTTCATACAAAGGAATTAAAATATTTATAGAATATAAACAATAATTGTGTGTTCGAATCCTATGTTAAATTCCAAAAGTTTTCGTCTATCGCCCATATTCTTTTTTTCAACTTTCAACCCACAAAACGCGCTACTTGAACTTACCCTAAACTCTTTTTTGTGCGGTTCTCTTAAAAATTCAACATTCCGTTGACTGAGAATGTTTATTGCAAGGAAATTGTAAAAGATATGTGTGAGGATAAAATAAACAATTTTCCCCGTAACACTTTATATCAAGTACTTAGTAACTTATGTTTACAGCATATATGCATTTGCCAAAAAAAAAAAAGGTAGCAACAATCATCGGATGATGATAACACAATTGGGATCCTTTGTCATACAATCTAGGAGAAAGAAAAACACGGAAAATTGTTGACAATGGGACTTATTGCTTTTAATAAATGTATATCCTTTAATTCCGTTGCGTGGAAATTCACAAACTTTAAAATATTGAATGACGAGAGAGTGAGTAACATTACCACTAAAAAGCATAAAAATAAATTCCGAAAAAGAGAAAAACTCATTAACTTTGGTTCCTTTCTACCATTGTTAGTGTGTCGCACGAGACTGTAAATTATATTACCCAGCAGAGTTGTTAGTTGATTAATTATGATTACGGGGACAGAATGTGAGAATTAAAGGTGGGGGAAGGTCCATTAATTTAAGTCATTTGTTTGCGAGAACCTTTGTGAATTGTGATTATGGCTGTGTAAAAAAATAACAAAAGTTGCTTCCTCATCGTACCGTGTCGATAATTTTGTGATTAATTATGGCTTGCCTTTAAATTTATTGAAAATAGAAGTACATCCGTTGTTTTGGTTACTAACGATCAACTCCCTTTGGGGATGGAATATTTTGATAAAAAAATAGCTTAAGAAGCACAGAAAGATTGGCAATCAGTGTGGGATGAAGAGGAACGAAGAAGCATTTTTTGGCTAAGAATCTGTTAATAAAGGCATGGAATATTTCCAAGATTGAGGTTCGATCTCATGTCTTGATTGCGAATATAACAGGAATTTTTTAAGAATCTTGTTTGAAATCTTATACTTCACAAGAGAAAGTTTCTAGCTTTTTGAGCTAAGATTAAGTTTGGGTATAAGGCGCATTTATTGAGAAGGAAGTG